CGCAATATATAGTATACATCCCTGAACCGAAAGGCAACACTAAAACTGGTGATGTAGTCAAAACCACCTTGAGCTTCTGAAAGCTCACCTCGCAATCATTGAACCATCTGAACGAAGCACCCTTCTGGGTCAATCTAGTCAAGGGCGCTGCAATAGACGAGAACCCCTCCACAAACCAATGATAATACCCTACTAACCCCAAGAAACTCCTGATCTCGGTCGTGGTGGTAGGACGAGGCCAACCCTGAACTGCCTCAATCTTCCTGAGATCCACCTTAATAGCCTTACCTGATACCATATGCCCCAAGAAAGCCATGGAATCTAACCAGAACTCACACTTGGAGAACTTAGCATAAAGCTTCTGTTCCCGCAAGGTATGAAGCACAAATCTCAAGTGTTGCTCGTGCTCCCCCATACTACGTGAGTAGATCAATATGTCATCAATGAAGATAATGAAAAATGAATCAAGATACGGCCTGAACACTCGGTTCGTCAAATCCAGGAACGTCGGCGAGGCATTAGTCAAGTTGAAGGACATCACAAAAAACTCATTGTGGCCATATCTAGTCTGAAAAGCCATCTTCGGAATATCTGAAGCACGAATCTTCAGCTGGTGATAGCCTGATCTCAAGTCGATCTTAGAGAACACCCTGTCACCCTACAACTGGTCAAATAAGTCATCAATACGCAGCAACAGTTATTTTTTCTTAATGGCGACTTTGTTCAGCTAGCGGTAATCAATGCACATCCGCATACTTCCATCCTTCTTCTTCACAAACAACATCGGTGCGCCCCAAGGCGACACACTAGGTCTAATGAACCCCTTCTCAAGCAACTCCTGAAGCTGCTCCTTTAGCTCTCTGAGCTCCTTGGGAGCCATACGATAAGGCGAAGTAGAAATAGGATGGGTGCCCTACACCAAATCAATGCCGAAATTAATATCCCAATCCGGCGGCATACCTGGTAGATCAGCAGAAAATACATCAAAAAACTCTCGTACCACCGGCACTGAATCTAACATGGGAATCTCTGCAGTAGTATCCCGAATAAAGGCCAAGTAAGCCAAACAACCCTTCTCGACCATATGTCGAGCCTTCAAGAAGGAAATAACCCGGTTGGAAGTACCGATAGACGAACCTCTCCACTCTAAGCTGGGTGACTCAGGCATCACCAAGGTAACAGTCTTGGCATGGCAATCAAGAATGGCATGGTACGGGGATAACTAATCCATGCCCAAGATAACCTCGAAATCAATCATATCGAGCAATAGAAGATCCGCTCGGGTCCCATAAACACAGAAAGTCACCACACAGGACCGGTAGACCCAATCCACAACAACAGAATCTCCTACTAGCATAGACACATAAGCAGGAACGCCCAAGGGCTCGCGGGACACATCCAAATAAGGGGCAAATAGAGATGAAACATAGGAGTAAGTAGACCATGGATCAAATAATACCGAGGCATCCCTCCGACAAACAGAAATAGTACTTGTAGTCACCGCATCAGAGCAAATTTCCTCTAGCCTAGTGGGGATAACATAGAATCTAGCCGGAGCGCCACCTAGTTGGCCTCCACCTCTTGCCGGGCGGGCAGGCAGTGTGGTAGCTGGTGCAGTAAGAATGGGCTGATAGTCCTGCTGCTCGTCCTTGCCCCAAAGTCTGGGACAAAACTTCTTCACATGGCCAAGATCCCCGCACTCGAAACAACCCCTTGAAACGGTGGACTGCTGACCTGAAGTCTGACCCTGATGGCCTGAAGCCCACTGGAGGAACCCTAAATAGCTGACGGGCGATAAGTACTCTCTATAATGGCACTGAAATAAGGTTGTGGAGCACCCCGAGCAGGCAGTGGTGCTGACTGCAGGGCCTGCTGGGCTGACCCCTCATGAACTGACCTCTGCCCCCAGGCGGGGCGCCACTGAATCCTCCTAACTGCCAGGGCCGCTTGTCTCTCGGCGCAAACTCTCCACTACGGTTGCGAATACGCTCGATCCTCAGAGCTATATCCACAACCTGCTGAAAGGAAGTCATATCTGTGCCTCACGGGCCATAGGTACCTGAATCTTAGGATACAGACCTGCAATGAACCTACGCACACTCTGTGTATCTATGGGGAGTATAATAGCTGCATGGCGAGACAAGTCAATGAATCTCGCCTCATAGTTGGTCACAAACATGTGACTAATATGTTCTGTTCTTCATTCACAGCCGGGATCGAAGGGGGTCCAATCGAGAATAAGGGTGTTGTTCAACCTAAGTTCAAGTTTGGCCTTAACATTACGATTGGTTTGATCGCTTATTTTGTCTTTAATTCATTTATCTAATGTTCTCAATTATTTGTGTTGAATCAAATTATATATCCTTAAAACCGCGTACAAATTTAATTGTTATCCAATTTTGGGGTAAACAGTTTGTTATTTATATTTCTCTAATATGTTTTCCTTGAATGTGTGCCTGTTCTTGGCTTTGAATGTGACAATCAACAAAAATTAGAAGCTCAATATATTTACTTTACCAGTTTAAACCAACCATGCAATTATTTAACTGCTTTTTCACTTCGGAAACAAAGACCAACTGTGTTTTTATCTTGGTTAACCACGCAATTCCAAGTGGTATAACTGATATTGATAATCTAATATCGATTAGTTTGGGATTGAGACCGAATTAATTTGTTCATGTATATTTAAAAGCTGAAAATTAGGTATGTGGCTTTGGCTTATGTAGTAAAGAAGTGAGCAAAACAAGGAAACAAGCTAACTTTGTAATGTCCTTGTACGTTTATATTGTTATTGAACCTTACATTACACAAATACATAGCACTTGCAATCAAACATCACATATTGCTCATCTCTTTATAGTTTATATTAGATTTCTCTTTAATAAGTAGGTATCCTGTTTGGCTTTCCCCTTTAAATGGGAATTTAATATACCTTTAACAAAAGAAGGCCGGAATAATTTTGTGGTTTACAAAATGATATCTTACTTTACTATATTTGACATTTTCCTATCAATACAATACTTTCTCTTTTTCTTTTAGTTTTTTTTAATTACCTATGTGCTTTCATCATTCAGGGGGGAAGAAAAGTAAACTATAGAATAATTGGCACGCATTAATTGAAAGGATGTTATTTTGTAGTTGTAATTTCTCTTACTTTTTTGGAATGAGAAAGAGAGTCAGATGATTCATTATGCTCTCTCTTTACCATAAGCTGCATGGTATATTTTCATCTTCACACTTCATAAGTTAACTATCCATTTTTCATCTTCTCCGCCATATTAAAATGATTAAAACTATTGAAGATTGCGTTTTCCGGATTCTCATAAATGTGTATAATGGCAAACGGCATAATATTTTAAATCTGTCATTCTAAGCTTGTGTCACCGACCATAAATAAATTCCACATTTACTACCCTTACTTAATTTATAATGGAATGTGCAACCGAAGAACAATATTTGTTTTGGAAATTTATATTATTTAAGAGGTACCGCTGCCAAATACTATTTAGGGAAATTTGTAATTCTGATCCTTTATTTATTGGATAATTTAGTACAATGATATTTTATTGAACGCCTTTAACCTTCAATTCATAGAATAATGTATTTTACTCTCTTCGCTAACAAATGTATCAGGTTTGTCACGTAAAATACGAGTGAAAGTACCTAGATTAAATTCTCTTAACATAAAAATGACTGTTCACATGATTTTATATTTTTTTAAAAATTATTAGATTTGCAAACATGTGGAAGGAGTAAAAAAGCACAACTGTTTTAATTTGAAGGCCAGACATATTTAGTTTGGTAACAGAAAAATTAGAATTTGCTAATAAGTAAGGGATAAAATGCAATTATTCCTATTATTTATTAGGGGGGCTAAAAGTCCATTAAATCGGGCCCTACAGGTGTAAACATCTTGGAGAGACTGCCTTTATTGACTGCCTTTAATGTCAAATATCAAAGTCAATTCTCATCTAATTCTGCCCAACGTGTAGGAATTAATTTTCATTTGTCACAAAAAAGCGAAATACTTCAAATTGTTGGACCACTTTTTGGTTTCGCTATATCTTTAGACTTCCTACATCACTCAATAAGGATGGGCTATCTTTTATTTCTTTTGTCAAGTACAAGCTGCAACAACCAGGGACGTATGCAGAGTTCTAACAACGGGTTCAATTGAACTCATTATCTCTGACGCGGAGTAAAAATTTATGTGTAAAAATTTATTAAAATTGCAAAATAATAGATATAAACCCATAACTTTAAAAATACAATGAGTTCGATGCTAAAAAATCTTAAAAGTTGAACCCATAAGGATTAAATCCTGAATCCGCCTCTACCAACAACCATAGTATACTTTAGTATCTTTTATTTACACTTGTAAATCCTTCACTCCTAATGAGGGTCTTGAGTTCGAGAACACAGAATGAAGAACTTCTTGTTAAATAGTGATTTACCCTTATAATGGATCTATTCAGCGCAAATTCAGATTAAATGATCAATGAATTTTGGATTCCGGATGTCAATAACAATAATAATAATAATAATAATAATAATAATAATAATAATAATAATAATAATAATAATAATAATAATAATAATAATAATAATTCATGAATGGACCAATATGGTTATGGAAAATGTGCTTGAATACTCCAATATTCTTAAAGCATTCAACATTGAATTTTCAAGAATTTACATGTAGATTTTAGGAATATTAAGATTCGATGTCTTCTAGATACTACCAAAACTAGTTATAAATGTAATTCTAGTAATAAAAAATCCGTAAGTTCGGAGATTAAATCCTCCTTTAGCAACACCAAGTGACTAAGCATATCCTTCTTGAAACAACAAGAACATACTCGGTATGATCCCACAAGTAGAGTATGTGGAGGGTGAGGTGCACACAAAAATAAATATAATACAAAAAAGCGGGAAGGGGGGAGGGGGCATTGAGGTAGAGAACCAGGTCAATAAGTCCCACAGAAAGTATGCAAATAAGATACTAAAGATTTTGTAATCTTGTGGGAGGAAAGAATTTCATCTAAAACTTGTTCAGCAGCCAGCAGTTTACAAAATCACTAGACATCATGTTAGAATGAACAATCTACTCTTTACACTAATAACAAAATAATCACACAAATTAGCCAAGACAAAGAGCACCTAATAAAGGAAAATAAAAAAGAATGAGGAGTCTTTGGTGAGTGGAATATCAATCAGAAACAAAGGAAATTGGACCACTAGAGATGCTGCCATGGCTATCATCAAATGCAGCCAAAGCTCTCTCCAAATTAGAAACAATGTCAGACATTGTGGGTCTGTCTTTCCCTTCCAAATGCACACAATGCATTGCAGTATAGGCCACCAATTCTACTGCTTCTACTTCATTTGGCTCTGGTGTCCCTACTCTGTTATCCAAAATCTTTGTCAATTCTCCAGCCATAATTGCTGGCACTGCAAAGTCCACCACACTCATTGGCGCTCCCCCATTTTCTTCTTCACTCTTGAATATGGCTCTCTTTCCTGTCAAAAGTTCTAACAACACCACTCCAAGTCCATAGACATCGCTCTTTGCTGTCAACACATTTAGACCATAGTACTCGGGATCAATGTACCCGACTGTGCCAGCAGCTTTCATTGGCCTACTATAATCGCGATGAGACACTGGCCCCATTAACGATAACCCAAAATCAGACACCCTTGCTATCCAGTTTGCATCAATCAAGATGTTGGAAGACTTAATGTCCCTGTGAATTATAGGTGGGACTGCATAATTGTGAAGGTATTCGATGCCTCGTGCAGCATCTAATGCAATCTTGATCCTTATTTTCCAAGAATTCACTATACTATTACTCTTCTCCACATTGTTCTTATTATGTAAATGATCAAAAAGCGCTCCATTCTTCATGTACTCGTAAACCAAAAGCCTTTCATCCCTCTCCTCACAATAACCAACAAGTCTAACCAAGTGTTTATGGTGTAACCGCGACAGGAACGCCAATTCTGAATCAAATGCACTTTCTTTCTCCTGAAATTTCTTTGTTCTTGGACCCATTTCTCCACGCTTGATCGCAACCTCACGACTATCAGGCAATTTGCCCTTGTAAACAACCCCAAAACTACCAGCACCAATCTTGTTTTCCGAAGAAAAGTTGTTAGTAGCTGCAACAAGGTCAGAAAACAAAAATTCCTCTGCCCTGTCTGCGTGTTTAGATGAAGTTCCACTCCTTTGACGCCTCATCAACCACGACCCTTGACGCCTAAGAGTCGATGATCTTGAAACAGGACTACTACTAGACACTTGCCCACCATTAGAAGTAGTAGTAGCAGTAATAGTAGGTTGAACTGAATTATGAACTTTCTTCTTTCCAAAACAACCAGCAGCCCACAGAAAATAAATAAAAGCACAAATCCCTGCAAAAACCCCCACTGATCCAACAACAGCAAAAGCCAATAAACCCCTTCTTAGCCTTCTAGAAGGTGGCGAAGGCACCACCGCTGGCGGCAGCGGCTGCCGTACTTGCGGTGGTGAAGTAGGTGGTGCTAAAATAGAGAAATCACAAGGCCTACAAATATTACCATTTCCAAAACAGAGATTTTGAGATTGAGGATATATACCACAAGTACAATTACTTTGTACACATGGACCTGGTAAAATCATTGGGAAAGGAAGTGCAGCTCCTTGAGGATACAAATTACTACTCCAACCTGGCCCCCAACACACCACAGAAAAATTACTCGTTGTCAATCCACACGTAAAATTTACACCCGCAACAACTGATTCAAAAGAAACTGCTTCTATAACATTACTTGAAAATTTACCGCTCCCACCCCAACACACCACTGTATGATTCATACTCCGAATTCCACAAGTATGATTCAACCCCAAAGCTAATCCAAAATATTCGTAACCCAAATTAGACGGAACGTTCAATTGACCGTTGTTATTATTACCTTTGCAAATAACAAAACCGGTAGTGTTCATCCCACACGCGTGCATTCCGCCAGCGAATATGTTCGCCATTGTTTCATTAGCGAAAGCTGACTGGATAGCCGAAGCGATACTACTATTATTTCCCCAACAGACGACTCTGTTTGAACTTTTTAAAACTCCACATGAAAATCCAAACCCAGATGAGATTGATGTGAATTGGGCCGACCCATTTGGCAGTTGGGCCGAATAGGAATCGCCTCTCCAGCAGGTAGTAGAATTTTGGGTGGTACTATTTGTTATGGCGCAAATTTGGGTGTCACCCATTGTAACGGTCGTTAATAAAGTTGAGTAACTGAAATACAGCCGTTTGGGGATGAAACTGGTGCTCTTCCAGTAGAGGAGTGCAGAGCCGCCGCTGCGGACGGCGGCGAAGCCGCTGAGGCCGCCGGCGATGAAGTCGAAGGAGACGTCCGGTGAAATGAGTGTGGACATTGATTGGCCATCTCTCCAGCATTGGATTCTTTGGATTGGTTGGTTTGCAACTATGCCGCAGATTGTGGTGGGGACGCCGTAGACGACCGCGAGAGTGGTGGCGGAGCCACCCAAGGCTTGAACATAATTAACGATGTTTACTAGGGTGACGACGATAGCAGCGACGGCGATGACGGCGGCTGAGGGCGTCGTCATCTATGTATTTTTAAGAATTCCTCAGTCATCTGTATAGAGAGAGAAAAAAAAGGAGGAGAAAAATACACAGTTATGGTGTATGTATGTGAGAAAAAGGAGAAAAGGTTTTTGCAGTTTTAGCAGGTGTTGAAAAAGGCTAAAAGCTAGAAACAGTGAACAGAAGCTAAAAGAGGTGTACTTACTGGATTTTATTGTACACGTGGCAATGTGGGTCCCTCTTGCTGAATTTCATGGAACACGACAAGTCAGAATTCACACGTAGGAACATGTTTTTTTTTTTCTAATTCTTTTTGGATTAGGGTTGGCAAATGTTGACCGGAGGCCGAGTAATTTTTGGGGTTTTATTAAAGGTGCCTTTAATGAAATTAATCGCAATTTAAGAGTGTGATTATGAGTAGGCGTTTAACTTTTCTGATTAAGTAGATGGTAGTACACATTGAGTTTCCGAGTTAATATGAGACAGAGGGAGTAATCATTGAAATTTCCGAGATAGAAATACAAAATGTATGACTTGACTTATAACTTGGTCAAATGACATGAATCTGTGACTGCGGAATGAGCTTGTGGAAAATATGGAAAGAGATTAGAAGCGGCAAGGCTTGTACTAGTAGTTGTTTTGAGTGATTTATAACTTATAAAAAACTTTTGACTTTTTAACTTATAAAAAAGCTTTAGTATGACCAATAATCTTACTACTTATTCCTAATATTTAATTTTTGTGCTTCTCAAAATAAAATCCCCCAACTCACTCTTGTTCCAATTATAGCAATTAGCACACTTAGTTCTTATCAAACACATCAAAAAGGAGAACTTTAGAGTAATTGAAAGTTTATGTATTCTTTTTTAGTATTAAGAAACGACAACGCCTAAATGCTTACGGCTTGTTTGGATGGTTGTTACGTGTCGTTTCATAATGTATCGTATCGTATTGTATTGTATTGTACAGTATCGTTTGATGAATACAATGTTTGGATGGATTGTGTCATTTTGGCATCGTTTATCACGCACCTGTGATATGATGAATAAACTTGCAATATTATAAAGAAAAATTATGATACGGTATATAAAAAGGTAGGGTAAATGATAAAATAAAATTATTTAATAATAATGAAGGGTGAGATTGAGAGAAAAACACAAGGAAACAACGCGACCACACCAAATCTATCGTTACATAAAGTGGCACATTTCATCGTTACGTAACGACGGATTTAACGATACAATACAATAAAATTTAAGTAACAATCAAAACAAACATTGTATTTAAAGTAACAATACGATACGATACAACAGGTAACAACCATCCAAACAAGCTGCTAGAGATAGAGTAAGTAATTGAAAGTTTTTTTTATGGTTTCCCACCCGGTGTCCGGTATTGGAGCGCGATTATATCCGGATTCACACCGAGTAGGACCCACTCGGAGGGAAGCGCTCCCTACCAAGGATTTTTTCATACCCAGGGCCAAAACCCGAAACCTCTTGCTAAGGGAGGAACAATATCATCCACTGCACCACATTCTTTGGTGGTGAATAATTGAAAGCTTATGTAGTATAATTTCTATACATCAAATTTACTATCGAATCATGAACTGTTTATAGAGAAAATGAGCAATTTTCTTTTTTTTCCAAAAAACAAAAACAACTAGTATATAAAAATATTTGCCAAACTAATATTCAATTACTACCGATTTGTTTTATGAAACAGAAGGAAAATATATTAAAGAGAGAGGAAGATAAGGGAGAGGCAAAATATTAAAGTAAAAAGGGTTTGTTATTGCATATATTGTTATAGCACTGCTCTGAATCATAATCAAAGTTGGTGGAATATTAAGTGAACTCGTACTAATTTATTAAGTAAGACACAAATAAAGCAAAGCTAATGACAAAGAATCCTCAATTATTTCAATTAGATTCACACTCAAACTATACCTAAAACAAAATCTATTTGAGTAGCGTTAACTTAAGTTGAAGAAATTTAAAAAAAAAAAGGAAACTTAAGTTGAATGATCCCAACTCAACACGAATCATTTAGAAGCTGTACATATGGTGGCTAATTATTTGGTATCCAAGGAATGAAAAGGTTTGGACCAAACACGGCAGAGAAAGACAACTCAAATTACAAGGCAGGCATAGTGTTGAAAATTTCAGTCAACTTTTCTATGGAAAAAGAAAGAATTATTTGTACGATGCATCTGTTTTCACGAGGGAAAAGGTGTTTGCTTTTGTCTGAAAAAAACAATCCGAAAGAATGAATTTTCCTTGGAATGTTTTCTTCCAAACATGGAGTTGAAAAAGATGGACTAATCTTTCGAGGCCTTTTTTCATTTGCTTTGTTGGGCGTTCTTTTATAAATAGTATGTAAGCACTCCATGTGATGACCTGATAGGTCATCTGGAGTTTTAAACTTTAATTATGTGCTTTGAAGCCTCCAATAGCTTCTTTAATCCTTTCTCGATTTACGTGCAAAGTCCGGGTATTTTTCCGGAAGGCTTTTATGTTAAAAATTGATAAAACAAGAAATTTTGCCTTAAAAATCCATTTGAGTTGACTTCGGTCAATGTTTTAGGCAAACAGATCCGGATATGTATTTTGACTGTCCCGGCGGGTCCGTATCGTATTTGGGACCTAGGCATATACTCGGAATCGATATCGGAGGACCCTAGCTCGAGTTATCGCTTTTTGTTGAAAATTGAATGTATAAAGGTATAATGACTTTAAAGATTTGACCAATATTGGACTTTGTTACGTTGATACCGGGTCCGTATTCTGGTTTCGAAACCTGGTATACGTTCATTACTATATTTAAACCTGTCTGCCAAATTTGGTGAGAAACGGAGTTGGTTTGACGTGATTCAAACGTCCGGTTGTTAAAATATAAATTCTAAAGTTTTATTGAAAATTTTATTTGATTTGGTGTCAGATTTGTAGTTCTAGGTGTTGTTTTGGTGTTTTAATCGCACGATCGAGTATGTATCATATTTTTGGACTTGTGTGCATAATTGGTTTGGATCCTCGAGGGCTCGGGTGAGTGTCGGATAACGTATGGACCTTTTGAACTTAGGTAAAATCTAGTTTGAGTTTCGGATAACCTACGGACCTTTTGAACTTAGGAAAAATCTAGTTTTTGAGCTTCAACTGTCATCTGGTACATTGTGCTTCGCGATCGCCAAGCCACTCTCGCGATCGCAAAAGGAATCTGGCCTGGTGGAGGATTTTGTTCTACGCGAACGCGAGACTATGGTCGTGAACGCGGAGCACCGGGGGGGGGGGGGTCTCCTCTACGCGACCGCGGTCAGTCACACTCGAACACATAGTTTAGTGAGGTGGGAGCTGGGAATTTGAGGTGACTCTATGCAAACGCGAGTCCAGTCTCGCGAACGCGGAGGTTATGCGGGCTAAACCTTCGCGAACGCGTGGAGTCTCCCGCGATCGCGTAAGGCAGTGAGGCTTTTGCTCTTGGCGAACACATCAGGTTTCACGCGAACGCGATGAGCACCTGACGCCTGTGATTAAAACAGTCCCAAAATAGGGATTTTGTTCATTCTTTCAAATTCTGAAAACTAGAAAATCCTAGAGGAGATTTTCCCAAGAACTCTTCTTCCCTAATTTGTTGGTAAGTGATTCTAACCTACTTTCTTTCAATTACCCATTATATTTCATAAGATTTTCAACTAAAATCTAGGATTTCCATGGTAGAAATTGAGAATTTTGGTAGAATTAGGAATTTTTGAAAAATTGGAATTTAGACCTCAAATTGGGGTCGGATTTCAAAATAAATTACATAACCGGGCTCGGGGGTGAATGGGTAATTGAGTTTTGGTCCGAATTTCGGGTTTGGACCAAGCAGGCCCAAGGTCAATTTTTTACGTTTTGGGGAAAAGCGGGGTAATTGTAAATTTATGCATTGTAATTGATTCTTTTAGCAATATTTACTATTATTGAGTCAAATGTGGTTAGATACAAATGGTTTGGAGGAGGATTCTAGGGGAAAGACCTCGGTAGAGCTCTGAGTTGACTACGGAGTGAGGTAAGTGTTGAGTTTAACCTTGATTTAAGCGATTAGGAACCCTTGGACTAGGTGCTATGTGAATTTATGTGTTGCGGCATATATGCGAGGTGACAAGTTCTTATACGTCGCCGAATTACTTGTTTCTCTGATTTTCCGTTTTTTCTTAATTACTTTCTTCCATGTTTTAACTCTTAATGCTTTAAATGCCTTCCATGCTTTATTTTTCTACTTGTTAATCATTGTGTCTCGTGTTAAAAATATTATACCTTTCCATGTTCACATGACTTGTTGCTATTTGTCTTAAATGACTTAATTGCACCTTTTTAATTGTCATTTACTAGACTTATCTTGCCGTGTAGTATTATATATATGGATTCCCGAGTTGGTACAATATTTCCTTTTTGGTTCCGCTTCATATTTATCAATCGTAGATATTCTTGTGAGTTGAACTATTAATTTGATTGCACTCATTGAATAGTTGATACTGATATGGTAGGATCGGGTTGTACGCCGCAACATGCGAAATAAGGGTGCATTGATACGGAGGAATATGGGTGAGTTTGTACTGATATGGTGTTATCGGGTTGTACGCTGCAACAGATAAGGGTGGATTGATACGGTGAAATAAGGGTGAATCGTTATACTGATTTTGTTATATGGTGGGATCGGGTTGTGCACTGCAACATATTTATTTATGATTGTTGATACTGTTACGGTGGATTAAAGAAGTATTGTGTTGTACGGTGGGATCGGGTTGCGCGCCGCAACAACCTGTGTGTTTCTATTTCCTTGAGTTGTGTTGGTTTTCGGTATTTTCATTTGAAACAATAAGGATTGGTAACTCTAATCGTCACCGGTTTATTTCTTGAGGTTGTAGCTATTATCTTCAGTTAACTATCTTATTTTGTTCCGTACTTCCTTCTCCTGTCTTTATTATAAACTGCGTACAGGTTGTAGTGTGAATGACCTGCCTTATCCTCGTCACTACTTCGTCGAGGTTAGACTCGGCACTTACAGAGTACATGGGGTTGGTTGTACTCAAACTACACTCTGCACTTTTTGTGTAGATTTTAGAGTCGGTCCCAGCGGCGGTTATTAGCGTGCTCGGATTGGCCAGCTTTATGGTGTAACGACCCGGCCGGTCGTTTTAAG